TAAATAATAAAAAAAAAATGATGTTGTACTCTTTTTCCTTCATCTATGGTTTTGTCTTTAAATAAAATAAGGTTTTCTTAGATAAGGTTTTAATGAGGCAACAATTCTTGATCTTGCAAGATCATAGAAAAGTATAGATCATAAATCTATATAAATTTTATATTATATAAATATTATGATGAGTGAGGAGGAGTGTTGAGATCATTAAATATAGCCGACGCTCTCCATAATATTTACTATAGACTACAATAATTACTATAGCTACAATATTTAGAGTCTAGTGGAGAAGTATTGGTCATCCTCTTATCTTCTCTCTTCTTGTATACGAGACACAACCAAATCAATAGATTTGTGTGTGTGAAGCTCTCTCTCCTTAGAAACCCTCTTGTATGTATGACTTACTACTACTCTTGTGTGTGTATGACTTACTACTACTCTTGTATGTGTGTATGACTTACTATTACTCTTGTGTCTTTCTAAACATTCTCAACAATAATCACATACTAAAATTTTTTAAAGTATGGCAAATTATTTTAGTCACATACTTTGATCTTTATTTATTTTTTAAAGTAGTTGATATGTCCTTTCAATTGTTGATAGTATTTCATACTAGAGAATGAAGACCAACCCATTATTTGATTATTATTATTAAAGCCTTTATAAGTTATTTCACATAAAAAATTTGAAACACCATTAAGAGTGATTCCTATCTCTAATAATATCACCAAACATTGAGAGTCTATTCCAATATTGTAATACCAAATATTTTATATATTATTTCTTATTTTAAAAAGATCATGTTATTTTTAAAGATATTTATTTCTATTATAACATCATAAAGGCTATGACAATCATAATACCTTTTTTAATAATTCAAAAATTAAATTAATAATTTAATTATTAATTATTGAATTTTTAATCTATCATAGGATTTTATTAAAGTTTGTTTAGAATTTAAAATTTTATTAGAATTTGGTTTATAATTTAGTATTATATTAATAATTAATTTAGGATTTAAGATTTTATTATAATTTTATTATAATTTGATTTAGAATTTGAGATTTTATAAGGATTTGATTAGAATTTATTTAGGATTTAAGTTTTTATTAGGATTTGATTGGAATTTTATTTGAATTTGATTTAGGTTTAAAAATTGATTAGAATTTTATTAAGATTTGATTTAAAATTTAAAATTTAGAATATTATTAAGATTTTTTAAAAATTCAATTAGAATTTGATTTAAAATTCTGTTATGATTTTTTAAAAAATTAATTGAAGTTTGATTGGAGTTAAATTAAAGTATATTAAGTTTTATTTAAGAATTATCTTAAAATTAATTAGAATGAAATAAGATTTACTTAAGATTTTTTAAAGTTTTCTAGAATGTACTTAAATTAATTATAAACTTACTTGGATTCTTTAAAAATGCCAAAGGATGTTTCTAAACATCTTATGTATTGTTTTGGATTATAAATCTAACTTTATGATAAATTCAAATCCTTCTATAGCTATATGCTCAATATATTTCCTAATTAGTTTTCATATAGCACAACACCGTACTAGTGTATAAGATATTCTAACCTATTTTAGTGTTGCTTTGAGCCTAAGGCCTCCTTTATTTCAAATTCTTTATTATTATTTACTTCTATAAAAAGAAGTGGTATATGTCTTCTTTATGGTATATCTACTATCTTTTAATTTAATAAGAGACATATAGAACACAAGATGGATTTTTATAGACTTTGGTAGGTATAATTAATATGTAATTATATTAACTAATTTATTAATAAAATAATAATTTAACTTGTTATAAGAGCTAATAGTCTAGATATTATGCCAAAGTAATCATATCTTGTCACGAACATAGAATTGACGTTGTTCTTTGCAATAGATATTTGTGTTGATTGTTTTTCATTCTTATGCTTCCTTTAATTATGTATTCATTGTTACAAAAAGGTTTAATAAATAATTTTCTATTTTTTTTGTTATAAGATTATCAAATTTGGAATAATAAAAAGTATCAAGTTGTGGATGATAATCATCAAAAAATAACTTTTAAATAGGAATATGTATCATATTATTATAAGTAATTTTTTTCAAGGACATAAGAGTTGTCCAATCATCTTAATGGTAATTATTGGTACATCTTAAATATTATTTGTATACTTGATTTATATGTTTTTTTATCTATTAATTTAATAGTAAATGGTAAGAATTTTTTTTATATTTACTTTCAATATATTAAAAAAAAAATAAAGAACTCAAACATAAGTTAAGTCTTTCTATCTATAAAAATATCTTTTAGTAATTTATGATAGCAATAAATATTATCAAGAATATTGAGGCTATAAACATGCTTTAATTTAGTATAAGCACATCTAATGTTATTATGTACACATCCAAAATACATGGAAGATTGTGATTGGTGGTATATTAAAATATAGATCTTTCCACTTGACACAAATATAGAAATGAAAAAATCAACAATCTCTTCTTTTAGTGATTACGTTGATTGATCAATAAGTAGGATCAAAGAATGATTTTCCTTGCAAGACCACGATGAAAAACTGAAATTAATATGTTTGTACTACGAAATGTACCTATTATCTTTAATAGTGAGGATATTATTAATCTTGATAGCAAATATTGTATTTTCAATATAAAAATTTGTTTATATTATTATAATCTAATGTTCTTTCCAAAGGATCCAACATTGCATAATAATAATGTAATGCTTTGATAAATTTTATAATAAATAAGGCTCCATTATAGTTGGCTTTGACTTCTAGTAGTGTTACTACATTTGATCTTAGGTTACAAAATATGCACAACAACTTTCTTAAAACAGCCTCATTTTTGGAGAATAAGTGCAATTCTAAGCAATTGATAGCCAAATTATCATTAGGCCAAATATTTAACATTGCTAAGGTAAGATTCTTCAAAATTAAGAAAACTAGGATAAATTCAAATTATTAAGGACATGAACTTCAAAAAACTAAAATGCCAATACACTCTTATATCACTCAAAAAGTCTAAAAATTCATTCAATGATGATATAGTATTAAACTAGAATGGCTATTGCCAAAGACAAGATGATTAAAAAGTATTGAAATAAGATTAAAGACTAAAAAGGCATTGACAAGATTGAAGAAGGCTTTATTCTTGCCTCTATTTATATTCTTAACTAGGATCTACATGGTGATGTCCTATATGATCTCCAAAATATGTTGACTTTGTAAAACATTTATCTTAACATGTAAAATAAGTTTTCTATGAATGCGCCATATAATTAGGTTGTTTTACAAGCTATCAACATGTAATTTACTTGTTGACTAAGCTTCTAACCTACCAATTAATTATAAATACATGTGAAATCAAAACAATGTCCATGAAGCTTCTAGAAAACTTCTTTAAAAAATATAATAAAATAAATCTATTTCTATCTACTTCTACTAAATAATATAAGTAAATACTAGAATAAATATGTATATCCATTGTTGTATTACTTATATTCTTGTTTGAAAATATGTTGGGCACCTAAATGTGGAAGATAAAGTTATATTTTACAAGTATCTAAGAAATTTTAATAGGTTTCATCTATATTAGAGTATTACATCTATAATTTATTTTTTCATCTTTATTTATATTTTTAAAAACTATCAAATTGTTCTATAAAATAATATATTTTTAAGTATTTATAAAATAATTATATACATTCAAATATATTTTAAAAGTATTTATAAAGATAATTTTTTCATAAATACTTTTAAAATATATTTTTAGAAATAATACATGTATAGTTTTTAAAATACCAAATTATTTTATAAATACTTTTAAAAGTCATTTGAATATTTTTTGATAATTTTATAAAAGTCTAAAATGTTTTATAAGAGTTTAAAAAGTTGTAAGATAGTTAGGATTCTATAAGAGAAATTTGATTGGATATTTGATATAAAACCTAAACTTTTAAAATATTACACATTGTAAAATTGTGTCTTTATGGAATGTTATTGGAAAAATATTTTGCCCCAAAGAAAGGACAAAGACCATTATTTGTACCATTACATGATCATACTTAAAAAAACCAACCAAGTACAATGGCAATGCTTGGGGGAGTGGAGAACATAATTTTATCCAAGTACAATGAGAGGCCACGTCTATGTTGAATGTTTACATTGAACGTGAATGTTGTGTGTTTTTTCCAAAGTCAATGCACAAAAATTCCATCCATACCAATCAACACAATTATTGAAGCTTCACCAAAACCCCCATTCATTTCCTTTGTCTGAAATCTCCCTTAATATGACTTGCAATACAGTTTGAAGGACATCACGTTTACCCAAACCTACATGACAAAATTAGGTCACTTGCTTCTTCCCCAATTCACCCATCATTGTCCTAAATGTCTCCCAACAATAAGTTTGTCCCATTATAACATATTATTTTGATATTTATCCAAAGAAAAGTTCCATTTATCCACACATTTGGACCAAACTACAAAAGAGAAACTTCAGAATTGTCAACATGAATGATATGAATGAAAAGAAGAGCAACCGAGGGTCAAGTCATCCATAGAGAAAGCCGCTTTCGATTAGGGGTTTTGTAGAGTCGGCAAAGTATACACATCCGGGGGATGAAAGACTGATGAACGAAACAGAGAACGAATGAAGAAGAGTCGAAGACTATGGAGGGGTGATGGGGAACGACGAATGTAGATGGATGAAGGAAGATTAAAATGGGTCGCTTGGCGGATATTCTGATGCAGCCGAAAAGAAATGCACCCCTTAACTTTTCCTTTTCTCTTTCTCTTCATGATTTCTTTATTGTACATGAATCTTGATGCCGACTGAGAGAGCGAGAGCGAAAGCGAGAGAGTGAGAGAGAGGGATCTGTCTTTCTCTTCGTGAGCTTGCTTTGGTGGTAATTCGTGCATCATGCACTTAAACGCAGGATGATATATCATTGAAGTACTACATCCCCTGACTGATGTAAACTACAGCGGCGCTGTGGATCCGCATATAATTGTGTGTGTCCGAATCCAGGGGGGACGAAGATGCAGATCCGGATTTTGACCGCGTTGCTGCTTGTCAGTGCCTCCCTGGTGGTCTTATTTTTAGCCCCCTCGTTCGCTACAAAGCCCAAAATTCCGAGCGCTGGACTCCGCGCTCCTGGTGTACCGACTTCATGAGGTTGACGGCCTCTCTGTCAGGATTCTCGAGAGACTCCGTTGCAAACTTGTATATGCAAACTAGAAGGTATCTCTTTTTCGGTATCAGGGATTTCGAGGGAGAGTTTAGTGTTTGGGGACGAAGACCTGTCGGTGCAAGTTTGCTCTTTCAGACAAAGCACAGTGTGTGTGTGACTTAGTTTGGTGGTAGAAAGTGTGGAGCTGGCACGGATTCACTGAAGAAGACTTTGTGAACCAGCTTTCTGAACTTAGATCATCAACGCTGGTTCATCAACGCAGCTGAGTGTGCAGAGTGTCAGAGGCTTGTGATATCGCTGGAAGAATAGCTTTTTTCGCCCTAACCTCCACATTTTGGGCGATTGGATCGTTGAAATCTTTTGGGCGGCTGGAAATTCGGCGACGACACGAGCTGTGAACGACGTAGTCCTACTTGCGGGAACGATTCCAATATTTTGAATCTTGGGAGCCACTTGGGGTCACTCTTCAATGTGTCAACTGGGATTATGTACAAGGAATTTCTTATAGGGTTGAGAGCTTCTCCCCTTATGGATACTTGGAGGTTTTTCACTGTCGTTGTATACGTCACGATGCTCTCTTTCATTCTGAAGAGAAGACTTTGGTTAGGTCTCGGCCATGCTCCTGGTTCATGAGCACACAGAGTTGATGATACCCTGCCCTCATCCTCCTCGACTTCTACGTAACGCTCTTCAGTCTTCTGATGACATCCTGTTGCCAAATTCCCTGAGTGCATTTCGTCCATTATCCATGTCCCTGTAGTTTAAATTGGGCGGGCTCTCTCGTGACTCAGAAGTGTGTGATCGTTTGTTGTTAGTTCTGGAGATTCTCTCACACACCAGAGGCCGCATTCTTCCGAATTTCTGTTGTATTCCGATTGCCTTAATATCTCTCTGTACATCTCTAAGCGTGGTGGCCGTGGTCAGTGCAACGAACATGAGCTGCACCATGTGTTCAGAACTGTTCACTCCAGGAGCGGTACCGGAGATACTGCGCAACCACGAAAACCGAATGTGCCTTCCCACTCTGTCATTTTCTCAGTATCTGGATTATTTGCAGGCCAGAGGGCAAGCCAATTGCACTACTGTGTGGACCAAAGGCACTGTGGCGTACCGCTGCCGCACTTGCCAAGTCAATGACTCAAGGTTTGGCATCAAACGCTCTCTTCCTCTCCTCTCCTCTTCTTCGCACTGTTCATTTGTCGGTATCTCTCTTTTGACTCTTTCATTTTCTCCATTTTTTTCTTTAGGACTCGATTCTGGACATGTTAAATCGAGGCCCTGGGATGAACAGCAAATTGACGATTTTTGTAGGTTTACATTTAACAATAAGAAGTGCCACATTGTTTGTGAATAAAAGATTTGTTCAACTGTGCAGCTCAAATGAACATGATAGTAAGGTTAGTAGGTTTTCCATTGAACCTGGACAATACGGCTTATTACAAGATGATCTAAACATTAATCGCCTTTTTTCTTTTTTCTTTTTTTATTACTTCCTGATTTCCTGCTCTTCGTGACTTTTTTGCAGTGCCATCTGTGTGAGTTGTTTCTTAAAGGGTGACCATAAAGACCACGACTACGGTAAGTACGCGGCCACATCTGGTCTACTTTTGATCGATGGTGGATTCTCATACTTTTCGATTAGGCAGTCTCTATATCATTTGATTCCATGTGATTTGGCCAATTATAGCTGACACGAGCTTTACAAGTGCAGTAATGTATCATAGTGAGTCAGGCGGGTGCTGCGACTGTGGGGATCCAGAGGCTTGGCTACCTGAAGGGTGAGCACAATGTTGGGGTTTAGCTGGCTGTTGTATGTGCTATCAGAAGTTGTCAAATCCCTCTGGGCCAAGTAGAATGTTTATGGCATTTTAAGTCTTCCCTTTTGAAAGCCCTTAAATTGTGCAGCTATTCATATGTCAATTTTATAATTCAGATTATGTGTTACCTATAATTTGAGTAGGGATGGCACGTGAAATTCCTGTTTCGTTGAGTCCGAAATTCCAACTTACTTAACTAATTAATTCAATAGTTTAAGAGTAATTTGTGTGCCCAAATCAAGAATGCCGAGATGCTTTAGTGTGCAATACACTGAAAATCTGTAGGAGCTTTTACGAGGTTTTAGCTTTTGTTTTACAGATTTTGCAGCGCACACAAGAGCGTGGATCGTTATGAACCCAATGTGCCTCCTGATCTTGTGGAAGTTACACAAAAGTCATTGAGCAATGTTTTGTTCTATCTTGCGGTCATCGTTCTCTGCATTTCAGAGGAAAGGGGTGGATCTCCAATTCCTTTTCAGAGGAAGATTGAGGTGGCTAGTGTATTTCTCGATTGGCTCAAGAAGGTAAGTCACCAGGACTTCTTCAACGTTGGGTTCCCTTAAGAAATCAAGTTTGTAACTCGTATTTCCTTTTCGGCTATTGTTAGGTTCTTGAACTTGAAAGTCCTTATAAAGCTTGATCATCAGGACGCAGGTGCATGTCGGGATTTTATACTGCTATAATCTCTTTAGCTGAAGTATGTTTTGAACCTCGCATCCCTATTGCTAATGGCAGTTATTTCTGATGAGAACTATTTTTCCAGTTGTGCGGCGTGGATGCTCTCCGGAAGATTGTGTGTCTAGAAGTTGTTCAAATGACTGTAAAGGATAGGGAGACCCTCGAGGTAAGTTGCTTGATCTAGGCTTTTACTCGTCAAGCTGATGCCAAATGACAGAATTGAAGCAAAATCTGGTGTCATCCTTATGCTTCTTAAATTCTTCCTATACTTTTTTAGTAGCATCTTTCATCTGGTTTTGATAGTAATTTTAAGGAGAGCGGTGCTCATTTAGGTAACTTGGCCAGGTTTCTCCCAGTCCTGTATCATTGTGGATGGTAATTCGCTTATTGAATACATTTTACTATGGTTTTACAAAACACGCAGGGCTTTGCGCAGATGTTATTTTGTCATATTGCGCACCTCTGCCATCTTTTCTAATATACCTGGTATGGCATGATGCATCTCTCTAATCAACTTTGTCTTTATCTGCAGTTAACATCTCCTTTACAAATTCTGTTGAAGACACTCGCTAACATGCCAGAAGAGATCTTGGAGGGGGTGATACTTTGACTAATTTTTACCTTGAGCGTGTTGTTGATTAATTCTAATTAAATTTAAACCATAACATATTTGCTGAGATTATTTCTTTTTATTTAATTATTTATATTTTTCTTGTTCTTTTCTACGTGAGAAGGTGGTAGTATTGGCTCCTTTGTAATCTGTATTATTTGATGTTAGCAATGTGATGTTGTCCTTCCATGCTCTGTTTTGTCTAAAATTGAATTGTGTTGTGATCGCGCAGGAAACAACTTTGTTTTTGCAGTTGCTGTACAACCAAGATTTTAAGCAGTACTACTCCATGGAAATCATGAAACACTATCAAACAATGATTGAAAGCGTTATCGATAAAATTGTTGACAATGGAGATCCTCTCATTAGACACTTTAAAGCTCTTGACTCAAGTCTGGATAGAGGTACGTGAACACGCACTGTGACATGCCAAGATTCGTGAGACAAGTGAAGTTTTTTACACATCCTTATGGTTGTATTTGGTCTATTTTACAAAATCAGCTGTGATCTTGTTTATTGCAGTTATGGTGCAACTGTTTAATGCTCCCAACTTGGAGTTAATTAAGAGCAAGAACTTGCTAAAATTATTTGTAATGGTTTTAGATAATATCTTGAAGCGCTGCGTGAAAAGGTAAGTAATGGAAAACATGCCCTGCGTGATTGAAGTTTCGTGGAAAATATCGGAAATTCCTTGCCTTAGGATGTCAATGTTGATTAAACATATTTCTTAACAATATGCCTACGATGTATTATGAATTCTTATGTATGCTGGCACCCAATTTGTTACAGTGGTTGCAATGTAGTGAACGTTAGAGATCCAAGAATCGAGAATAAGGTTAGTTAAAGCAATTCCATTTCAATGCACAGTGATATAAAATGTTTCATATTTTCCATATTGCTTTGATAACATATTGCTCCGCTTATAATTTTCAATATAAGTGCTGGTGAAGAGTATGAGTTCTGTTGCATTTGTCCTGTAGTTATACTTGAGACCACAAGGGGACTTGCGTTTAGTTATTGCTCATCAATCCGTAGCCCAGTATCTGCTTGAAGAGCGGCTAGATGTCTTTACTTCTATGCTGGATGTCCTCATTTTACTTCAGGTTTGCGGCTTTTCACCATATTTGTTCTGTGAAACTTTGGAGAACTTGCTGTTATCCTGATGAGTCATTTTTTAGTTTACATTATTTTCTTGAAACGTTGGACGAGAATGTTCCAGTAAAAATCGTAGGATTGTATTGATCGAAGTATTCCACTAAATCTTTCATTTCTAAATCTGTAATCACATTTCATAGGGGCATTTTGTGCTTACGAATTTGAACGAGATTGTTTACAGTATTGTCGCCTTTTCATGCAGTGGATGAACCCATATTATCCAACACGCTATATCGAATTTGAAGAGCACAATGAGTGGACATTGGCTATCCAACTTGAGGTCTGAAACTCTCGAAACCTTGCTAGACATTTCATCTTCAAAAAGGCACGACAGAATAGTTTAAGGTAGATCTGGATTCAAGAGCAAAGAAATCAGGTTTCAGCAATTTAAAGGACGCTGATTGTTTACGTGTATAGAGTCCTGGGTTCTATATTCTAATTACGTGCACCTCAATCAAATAAAACAGAAATGTAGTAGATGGTAATTGAGTGTCTGTTTTGATTCTACGTCCATGTCATGGTGTTGTTCAATTGTGTTTCTTGCAGATGAATACTATGGCAATCATATTTCAGTTAGTCTCTAGGTGCCATTTAATTATTAGACCCGAGCTGGAGGATCCAACTGAGACATCCAAGAAAACATTGCTATCAGCAGCCAAGTGCACGTTGGACCGGTTGTATAATTATTTAAAACAGGCAAGTGCTTTCAGCCGGCTCTGTTGACCTTACTTTGCATCTCACTATTATTTTTATATATGACACTCACATGGCAAGTGAATGGCATCAATGGCACACTGAATCTTGATAAAGACAATTTCTTAGAGTACTGCAGTATTTTGAGTTCCCTCTCTTATATACCGATTATCAGGGACAGTATCTGCAGGCTTTGAATTATGTTACTGTAATCACCTTTAAAAATGTCAGGATAAATCGTCCACACTTTGTTATGGTGGAATTAAAAGTAGAACTAAAAAGTACTTTCAATTTTTTGTTAAAATGTGGTTCTGATAAACCTGGTGTTTGGAAGACCAAACAATTTTTAGGAAGTGTTAGAAGGACCACAATGATTCATAAATGGATTGTAGTTTAACATCTTTTTATTGGGCAGGAATCAACACTGAGGTTTCTAAATGGGAAATGCCCCAACACTTCGGTATCACTCCATATTCCTCTGCACAGGACGTTGAGTGCTATTATGGCAAAGCTCGTGCTGCTACCTTGGCCTGATGTGAAGGATGGCTTTCTTTCCTGCCTCGAACTAAACTATTCTGAACAAGAGGTCTGTTCAAAGATATTGCTAGTCGTCGAATTGCTGTAACCACAGCTTGGGAGTACCTTCAGAATATGATGAAGATGGTCTCATGAGTAATCCAGTTCAATTTTGATAACAGTAGCTTCTGCATTTACAGTTGCAGTACAAATTCATCTTTGGATGCTCAAGATGTTAATATTATTCTTATTGTTGTTTGTATGTATGGTTGTGTCCATGGCTGATCAGATCCTTGCGTTGATGGAGCACCCTTTACGCATAACTGTCTGGATGGCACAGGTAATTGCTCTAATTCTTTTACTTCTATTTCTGTTAAATTTACACCTTGAGTCTTAGTAACTAATTGTAATCCTTAAGTTTTGGGAGGGGGAGGGGAGGGGCGTATTAATACCTTGTTTACCAAAGCGTGAATTGGAATAGTATATTGTTATACGGTAGACCATCAAGTCCCAAAATAGCGTATTAACCCTGTAGCATGTGTGCTACATCGGCATCGTGTGTCTTAACAAATGATTTCTCTTATGCTCCTGACCAGTAGCATGGGAGATATAAGAGATGACCAAGTTTTTGTAGATTTGTGATGGATGATTGTTATACTCCACTCATCTGCGGTTGTTGATTGTTACCCTGTTGACTGTTGATGCAGATTCGAGCAAATCGTTGGGTTGATATGTCTGAGGATTTCAACCGCTTGGAGCTCATATATCGGGGAAGCTTTTGGCATGATCAGTAAGTCACCATTGTGAGATAATTGTGGCGCTTGTGCAGCTTGGTCACATCCTAGATTATTTTTGTTGGAGGTGGAATAGTGTAAGTTAAAAGTAGACGTTCTACATGAGTTCAGAGATCTTGCATTTTTGGATCTTTGGTCTTGTTGGTTGTTCTAGGTTAACAACCTCTTAACTTCTGTTTGTAGTTTCTAAACTTTTCTTTCAATGAAAAATTCAGGTCAATGGACATGGATATATTATTGTTGCAATTTTGTGCTGTTGCTCGAGAAAATATGGAGCGTGCAGTATTTACGAGAATGGCAGAGCGCTTTGAGGTAATCACGGTAAAGACAGCTTTGGATGTTGTGAGGAGCGTAGCTGGTCCTGTTTATGGAATTCCAAAAGTGGTTCCAAAGCATATTAGAGCTATTTCAAAGTTTCTACATCGAAGTGCTTTGCAATGCTCAGGAGAATTTCTTCCAACCTTCAACCCAATACACTTATGTATTTTTCCTTATAACTAAATACTACTTGTTCTTTGGCAGCTGAAAGATCTAGTGTCTTCTCCTATTCTAGTGCATGGAAACCTTGTAGGAGATAAAGTTTCTTTATTGCAGGATTTTATGCGGTTAATACTGATGGTAAAACTCCTGGCTCCTCCAATCTTGCAACGCCGTTATACGAGTGATACCATGCTGTCCATTTAACCTTGGTTTCAAGTTGTCATTTAATCTTTGATACTAGTGGCATCAATTAACAGAATTTGGCCAAGAATGAGATTGTTTTGAGGTAAATTTTGGATCACTTTTGTTTGTTTTAAAAAGCACGTGTCTTACATGAGCCATATTCTTCAGATTGTACGTGAGCGTCGTAACACGGGAATGAAGGAGGTGAGAAATTCTTAGTGCTGTTTTTTTTATTCATTTTTTAATGGCATGTTACGAAGTTCGCTTTTATGTACTTGAACTTCATTATGGTTTATATATATTATGAGGATTGAGACAGTATGTATCCGATTTTTTTTTTTTTTTTTTTTTTCCTAACGCTTGATAAGACCTTTAACGTCTTGCGTGTGACGACGACGCTGTAATTAGTAGACCATATCCAATAACGAGTTATTGTGTCGACCATCTGAATATGTGCTTTTCTATGATTACAGGAGGACTGTCTACGCTATGACGTCATACAGTGGCTTTGTGTAAGAGACCAGACATATTCCCAGGTGTGATTGTCGTTTTCTTTCTCATTTTCAGTGGCCTTGACACATAAAAGCAGCTGTACCACTAGGTTTTTTGGCTCATCACATGATAGCAGCTGCATGCTTCTTGCAAGATGTTTTGGCCTCCCGTTGATGATATTCTCTATCTAATTATGTGTTTCTATATCAGCTCTGCCGTGCCCTCAGTGCAGTCCCAGTGGATCATTTCAAACTCACTGAAATGTTAGACAAAGTAGCTTATTTTCATGCTCCAAAGGTAATTTCTCCATCATCCACATTCCTATGATCCCTCTCAAAATACTCTTTAAGTAGAATCTCTTACTGACTAAAGAGAACGTTCAAACCCAGTGGTCTGCGATCATGCTGAAATACTATAGGAACTTTTTGAACTTTGTTAGGTATTACATGTGTTAAACGTACGCAATAGTACGTGCCAAGCCTTAAATACCAATTGAAGTCCGAGTGAATTCAGTTTAGTTTACTGATAATCTTGCTTCTTTGAATAGGTTCAAGAGCGAGGGTATTACCAGTTGAAGGCCGAGTACTGGCAGGAATTTGATCCGTTGTTTGTTCACTTTTACTCAAATGAACTGGAAGACGCTCAGGTATATGTTCCTTGAATGTCCGTGAAGTATTTATGCTGGACCTTACTTATTCCATATGGCTGCATTTGTATTTCAAAAAAAAGAATGTGTGTGTGTGTGTGTGTTTTTCCCTACTAGTTCATCAAGAAATTAGAAATTCGGAATATCATGGTTCACTGATTTGTCAGTAATGCTCAGTTCTTCGAGTGCACTGTGGACACATGTGTGATCTTAACATGCGTTCCAGGACGCTATAAAGCATCATTGTGTGTTTGTCATTTGACTTGGATCGCCCGAGGAGATGTGTTTAGATACAGATGTTCGATTTTCAGTAATTATGTAATTTTATGTATGACTTAGGTCGTAGAGGTTCTTAATGAAAATAGCTGATATTTTTTCTGATGATATGATCTTGTGAGAAATCTACAGGAGAGAGCAATAAATGTCGGAAAACTCCCACACTACTGGCGGATCAGATCTTATAGCGACTTTAAGCCGCCTTATAATCGTTTGATCAATCTTCTTCATACAGAGGTATTAGCTTCTGTGCTTTGCTTGATACTGTGGATTGGTCATTACGATGCTTATCTGAGTCAGGCTTCGCCTCTAGAATTCAAGTGAGACAATAAATGTAGCTTTTTCTCCAAGATTCTTCTCTGGAGGTCCATATATCATAATCCTTTTCTTTACTATTTATGGTGATCAGCTGCAAAATTACATTTCACATGCCTTCGCATATATCGATCTCAATAACTCAGCACTGTCAACCGGAGTGCTACATTTGTTAAATAGCAGGTTGTTATCAGGTCACTTAGCGCGAAGCTTCTTGTCGGGTTGAGCTTAGAAATTGCGATGAATGGTTAGAGTCTAGCTTGAAGAAGTACTAACTCTCTTGGATTTCAACTCACACTTACCAACGCCTCATATGTTGATATACAATATGGATTTTGTAGGAATGCCATCAGCTTTTATGGAATGTATTGAACTTCGTCAGTGCACTGGTCATGAAAGATTCCACAGCCACTGCCTGTGAATCACTTGGAGTTACAGCCCTGCAAATGATGGGGCTCGCACTTCTAGATCGGAGGTATTTCACCTGAGCACATACGTTTGTTTTATTTCTCTTGAACATAAGTTTCCAAAGAAGTACGCATATATATATATATATATATATCAGCTAGACCTGTGTATGACGAGTGTAGATTGCTCATGGTAAGATTGCGTATTTTAGTTATTCGAGAACAAGTCAGTTGAGCTTTGACATAGTAAGGTTACTAAGCCTTTTACAGCCATAGGCATGGTAAATAGATGTATGTCAAATGAAATTGAAGTCAATTTAGCGTCCGTCTTTGTGTGGTTTTTTTTTGATATATATTTATTTGTTTATTTTCAATGAAGGGAAAACCCAGAAAGATTTCCTGCAATCGCAAAGGCGGGGACTTCAAATCCCTTGTCTTGCAGCGACATCTTACATAGTATTCATCGTAGTTTTCAATTTGATGAACATACAAGAACTATGGATTGGGGAATAAGTCAACCTACATCTCCGAGTATTTTCGATTTTCTTCTCAAACTGCAAGTTGTGGAAAATGCTCCTCGTAAGCTGGATTCTGACCCTTTTTCATTAGTGTTGCTACGTGAGGTTATGTGAGATTGCTCTCTTACAGTGCTAGTCGCAAGACCAAGTTTTTAGTGGGATTATAATAGCTTGCTATTAATAAATACTACGGCATGCTTTGACAAAATTTCTCAATGTCCAGGGTTGGTTGATTCTGTTAACTACATTATGCAACTCCTGCCGGCATCTTCATTTAACTTCATATCTGGAGCTTCAAAATATAGAGACTTTAACCTTTCGTCCAAATCTCATGTAAATGATCCTTACTCAGCTGCTCTTTAGCCCTCCAACATTTTCCCGGTTTCTCTTGCTTGCAGATGTAGAGGGCTACCAAATCTCGCGTGAAGAGTCGTGGATGAGAAAGCCGTGGTTTCTTATATTAGGGTAGGGATGTAAGGATGTCCATTAGGTCTGCAATGTCCAATGTTTAAACTACGTGGAAGGAAGCCTGGTTTCAAATTGTGAATTGTGAATGTTGATTGTGAAATGTAGAAATGTAGCTGTCTTTTCATTCTGGTCTCATCTGTCACGTTCTAGATGAGCTAATTTGCATGATGGCTTCATGTGTTTATCAGGCTCGAGTGTATACTACAGAAGAAAATGAACGTATCCAGAAAAAAGAGCGTCAGGAGGCTATTATGGCTCAATTTAAAGCCAAGTATGATTTATCCTGGACCATTACTGACGCTTTTCTTGATTATCTACGCTCTATGCTTTAGAATTTCTTCCGTAGACGTTATCATTATTTTAAGAATAATAATAATAAAAATTATACTTGTTGTTTTTACCATTGTCATTATTGTGGTTGTGATTACGCAGTATATGAGTGCACGTTTTAGTTGTATTTGAAATTGCTACCTGCTGACAATGAAAATTTTCATCTGCTAACATCTGCTGTCTGCAGTTCTGAGACGTCTAGTTGAAGATTTTATTCCTAAGAGCATCGTTGTGGTTGTTGGGATAGGCAGAAAGCATTCTGGGAGGAATTCGAAGTTAGTGATGATGAAGGAGAAACTGGTAGTGCTACCTTTGCAACCAATAATTTAGAAGCGAGGAGCAGTGTCCAGGATTTAACAGTCGTCCCGAGCGTTGGTGCTGGAAGTGAAAAAAAATTGGTAGAACCAATCGAAGTGCATGAATGTGCTTTCTGTCGGAGTGAGGTAGATTCTGTTTCAGTTTTATGTTCTCAATTCAGTTGATGCGATGATGATAAGCTTTCGTGGGGACGGATGTGCTGAATTTCAACTTGTTAAAGCAACAACATTGCTGTTCACTTGTATTGCAAGGCTTTATTTATTTAGCTTTCTTATTTTCTTCGTTGAGTCCTTAAAATTCAACTCTTGATGCTTATTAGTCCTTCATTCTTCCTCTTTGTAGTGTGGTAGCAATGACAAATCAACAGGTTGGATTGCTCTAGTTCAACGTTACAATATTCCAAAGCTTGTCATAGGGAAGAGGCAGGGGGTGTACAGCAAAGAACATGCCAATAACATAGTGAAGTTGAGTAATGTGACTCCTAGCGGTGGATCACCCAGTGATGCCAGCGCAAAGCAGTTGGTAGTTTGCATGGAAGAAAACATGATTGATCATATACCTACAGAGCATGTTCGTTGCTGTGGTCATCAGGTAACGTGGTTGTTTCTTGTGTACCATGATCTCTCCAGGTGTACAAATTGGGGCAAGAAAGTGTCCATTGGTTTACTTCTGTTGAAGTCTATTGTCCTGTGATATTATTGAGGTTCCTTTGGGCTGCAATGTTTGATGAAGTCATCTAGTTATCAATTGTGGAGTTTTAACATTACTGTCAAGTCATGCAACAAATTATGAGTGTTTGGAAGCCAAATACGAATGACAAACTGAAGCTATACTCTATTCTGTGATTTCAGATGCATCATGAGTGTTTTCAAAGTTACCATGCTTCTCTTTTCAAAAGAGATTATGGAGAGGCAATCTATGAAGGTAACATCTTGAATCTATTAATGGATATATTGTTATGTTTTTATTATTTGACCATTTGGTGCTCTTTTATGTAGATGCTTGCCTACTTCGCTGGTGCTATAAAGGTGCTATGGTGCAGTTATATTTAATCAAAGCATTCTCAAATCAATGCTTGTAAAACAGTAAGCAACTGTTTTCTCTTTGCTCACTGTTTCAAAGGCTGCAACAAACGCATGACTTTATCATGTGTGCTTGTGGAATTGGGAACCAGGTAAAAGCATTATTGAACTTTGCAAGTCAGAGTTTCTCTGCCCAATATGCCGTCGACTAGCAAATGTGCTACTGCCTGTTGTGTATCAAGGAAGTTTGTCGAAAATGATGCAAGCTAGTCTGGATGATGATTTGGATAACCGACCGGATCACTGGATGGAGTTTTGGAACACGTGCAAAACCCTGCCCGAGGCATTGGACCAGTTTGCTTTTCAAGTATTTTTATCGCACATTTTCTCAATTTTCGCTATTAACGTCTGTCGCACCTTTTCTAACAACAACAATGATTGTTTGCATGCTGCGTCATCTTTTAGATCTGATATTTGTCTTGATGGGACCTCACATTTGCAATGATTTGTGGTCTTGTGACAGAGTTTGAATGTGAGGAGCAATTTTTCGAAAGTAGAGGAAGCATCAGATTTACCGAAATGCCCCGTAAGTGATTAGAGTGTGATGTCAAATGATGGTGCTTTGATACCCTCAGAATCTTTTACTGTAATGTTTCTGTTTTAAGATTGTTTTTTTTTGTTTTTTTCGTTTTCCAAGTCTTAACCCAGTTTCTATCACCAGGGTTTGAAAATCGCAGTCCTGGGCTGTCCAAAGTACTATCGAAGTTTTTCTATGTACTGTCGTCATGGTCTCTAAGTAGCTTCTTTCTTGGTCTTGAGCACTGGGAATGAAAATCCCAACGACCGTAATGGTCTAATACGCTTCATGTAGTTGATAAAGTTGGTATGCCTCTCAGTCTATGGAAATGACATTGCAAATCTTTTGCAGGTATATTGGGAAGTTTTTGCTTCGAATATTGCTCATTGTGAAGTAGAGACAAGGGAGGAGCTTGTTGACGTTGCGTCATCGTCCACAGCCTTGAATCCGGCAAGCGATCAGCGCACCTGGGGCGGGGATTCAGGACATTGGATTGCCATTCGGGAGCTGGGGAAATTAGCGATGGTCTACAATACTCTCCATAGACGTAAGATCTCCTTTCACTGTAGCAAGTTGTGAAGTAAAATTACAGAAATGTCAAAACTTCTGAACACAACTACTCAAACATGAGGCATGGATATATGCTTCTTGGAAAATTCCATGTAGAATCCAATAGGTCAGAATGTTTAGTGTCCTCACTTTCGCAATCAGGTCGAAGTCTTAGTTATAAAGAGAAGCTCAGGATTGTGCTGTGATGAAATTACAAATACTAGTGTCTTATTTGATACGAACATCTTTTTCTTGTGTGCACAGAGAAAGAGGTGGTCTCCAAGGGGGAGAAGCTCAAGCAAATGCTCTTACAAATCTCACGGTTTCTACCTAATAGGGAACCTTTAATCCACAATGAAGATTTTAGGAGCCTTTTCACGTCTGTATATGATGTACTTAATAGACTTCAGAGAATAACAGAGGAAATTTTTCAATCGGAAGAACCAGACTGCGAGATATTGAATGAGAGGCTCGGCCCTGCGATTGAGACAGCAACATCTTTGTACAAACCAATTTCAAGTGTATATAGTTCTCAAATCTCAAACAGGAATCTTGATGGGCATTATGGAAGGCCCCCACTTTGGCCCCCATCGGAGCCCCCAATGCTGGAAATGCATCAAGCCAGGGGTATGAGCGAAGGGTTTGCACCAGGGGATGACGTTGACATTAAGGTGAAAGAAACTTTCTCCTCACGGCAGGCGAACTCCCATTACCCTTCTGAGTCAGAAAATAGTATTCTCACTCAAATCGACATGGAATGGAGCTCTGCCTTTCAAAAAGGCAATGTATTCGATACCGATCCGTTTTGGCTTCTCATCGGACTTCTGAGTGTGAGTACTGATCTCTTCAGTTCGATTGGTTTGCTGTTGAGGGATTTTACTTGTTTTATGAAACTTATGTTCTCATCCTGCATTTAACTTGATACAGTAGAATCTTCTCGTACAGTCTCACAAGTTGATCACCTGAGAAGATATATAATGGGTGTTGAAAACTGCTGATTCTAGTCACCCTTGAAAGCAGCGATCTGTAAAAAGGGTGCATTTAACTACAACATTCTCGAATCAAAGTCATAGAAATGAGTAGTCTTGCCTCTCGAACGTTTTTCAAAGAACTTGGTATGAGATAGTGAAGTTTTAACGCTGTACATTCATTTTCTCTTCGCAGGCATTTCCAGTATGGCCCAATGTGGAAGATATTCTGCTGCTAGTTAAGTTTTCATACACAGTGGCCTTGACTCAGGTTTTACGAGCGTGCTCCAAGTTACAGAACAATGACGACCGCAATGTGCTGACCCCGGAAAGCGGCTGGGATGATGTAGTTCAGTATACGTGTTTGCCTTTCCTGCGGAGAGCAGCTTTGCTGGTCTGTATCTATACAATTCTATTCTTTGCTAAACTGGCATTTCACCATTAACTATAATATGGAAGTTCGTATTTTTTATTTTTTCAAAACGGTTTGTAAGCTCCAAAAAAATGGAAGAAAATGTGGTCGACAAGATTCATTTGACCTTGTTTGAATCAAAATAGGATTTAAGTTAATTTGCTTATAAGATTGATAAGTTTCAGAAGAGATTGCTATAGCTTTTTAGTAAGCTTTGAAACAGGGTACTCTCACTACATAGCTGAAGCAGATAATCGCAAATTGCATGTTGCAGATGAGTAATTTTCATCTGGTGGATTTGTAGATGCAAAGTATCACGGGTGAAGGCTGCAAGAAAGATTATAATGGCCCAGGTAAGAACTTTTCTTGACTGAATGGAATTATTATTATAGAAAGAAATGGTATCAAATTAACCCGATTGGAAGCATACTTCAGAATCACTTTTAATTCGTTTATCGCAGCTGCAGACATTTTAGGACTTGGTGTTTATTTTCAATGTTCCTGTTTGGATCCAGAATGACATTCAGTCTCTTATAATAGAAGAAATCTCGCGCGAGACGTGATTTTAAAGCTTCTTTCCCATAGTTTCTGGTCCCCAGTCAGTGAACGCTTAGACACGGGCGAAATTATCCTGAGCACTAAAAACATTTGGCTCTTTCACTATCAATCTCAGTTCAAGTTTGAAATGACTCTTCATCTTTCCATTTGACGTCATTTATCGAAAATGGTGTTAGAACTTCCTCGAAGACATTTAAAAGCAGAGGGCGCTTTCTTTTTTATTGCAGGAAGAAAAGTGATGGATGCTTTGTACTTGCAACAGGAGTTGGGTCTTGCGAATACCCACAAAATCTTCAATAGTGAGTCGGGGTCCCATCCTTTCTCAATATCTTGTCATTTATGGAAGCTTGAAGGATTTAGCTTTATGTGCAGTCATGTGACTTTCTCTGAGAAACATATCAACACCACGTAGATACCTATTGCAAATATATATCGAAGCTTGTTCATTGTAGATTTTTGTTACTGACTGTACGAGATACTTTTTCTTCTACAGCAGTTGGGGGTGTTGCGGAGCCATCTTTAATACAACAGCTTCTTGAACACGTTAGTGAGCAAAACCCTGCAGTGAAGGGTCTGGATGGAATTCAAATCAGCACGTCAACATTGTATCAACTGCATATTTGGTCCCTAACATCTGGATTGACTACAGAATATATGTAAATATTATTTAAAAATATTAAATTAAACTAAAAAAATATGTGAAAGGTTTTAAATCATCTGGATGTTAACGAACGAGTGTGTTGGGGTGGGTGTCAAATTTTACTATGACAATGATGTACATTACTAATAGTAACTTACTGATTTTTTTTTTTCTTCTCTTCTCTTTTCCAACATCACACGAATTTGATGACATTTTCCGAGTTCTCATGCTTTTGTCCTACAAAAATGTTATATGTGACTTCGGGAGGGTGTGCCTGGTGTGTTCAATAGAATCTTTTGAGCAAGGAGCACTCCCTGATGGAAGTACCCAAAGTTGTACATCTGGCACCTTTGCCGATCGTTTACCAGGTGAGACTGTACCCCTAGGATTATAATGTTTCAATTTGATGGACTAATAATATAACTCTTTCACAACTTGAAGTCGCACAGCTTGCTAAGTGAATGGCATGCCTGCTATGAACAATGTATTGTTCAATGACTATATTCCATTCTCAAAGAATTTGTGAGGACACGTGCTTTTATACTCATGGACTGGTTAATTTCTAAATCCACAGGAGCTTTTGCTACGGAGTATAAGTGAAAAGTGCATCGGATGCGACACTGTACCCATGTAGGTTTCTTCCTGGGATCTATTCGAGTGCTAAGAATCAGTAACAGAACTGTTTAGAGCTTTTATTTTGAAGTGGGAGAATTTCGTATTTCATGCTATACCAGATAGGTAAATCTTTCCCAGTGTCACATGAATATGTCTTGATATGTGCGTGTGATCTTGTTCTGTTGACAGGGAACCGGCACTTTGCCTTGTGTGCAATGTTTTTTTCTGCTGTGGAACTGAATGCTGTGTAAAACACGATTTGGCAGAATGCTCATATCATGCGGAAATTGGTAACATATTACTTATTATCTACAATTGGAAATGCTTTTGATATTGCTTAAGCTTCACCTAAATATTCAACTTTAGTAGCAGCTGTTGGTTGGGCAGGAAAATACCATATTTATGTGAAAGTCCTCGGTTGTTAATTTCTGTTGTTGTGCATCTCTTCTTTCTGGTATCAAGCAAAAGCTTACTCTTATATGCAATAAGTAAGACTTGTAAAATACATAACTTGAGGCAATTGTGTAACCATGAAGGTGTTGAGAACTCTTGCAACCAGCAGTAGTTTCACACGCTAATTTTCCACTTAGCAATGTGTTCTTTCAGAGGGTTCTGGGATTGGGATTTACTTGCTCATGCGCTCAACTCAGTTAGTGCTCATTCGTGGTGGTCGAGTCTGCATGGCGCCCTCTCTCTACTTGGACCAGCATGGAGAGGTTGGTTTTTCAAAGCCTTCATTGCATCGAATACCTTCCCTTTTTGTTCGTCTGAATCTTCACGTCGTACTCTGGGGTAATTTTGTTAGAGGATGTTGGTTTATAGCAGTAGTATTTCCATTGAACTATTTTGTTTGAGAGAGCATGTGTAGAATGAGTTTAGCTGAGTTTCTTTTGGTATTAGGATGCGTGTGGAGAGCGGCAAGACGAATCGGAGTCGTCTGATGGGCCAGTATGTTTTACTTCTCCAAGTGTTACTCTTACCTCCTCTTGAATTTCACTGGACACTGTTATTGATGTTTGATAGTGGCAGGAAGACACATTTTTGAGGCGTAATCAATTGCTTCACCTTAGCAAACTTCGATTGAATGAGGTGAGTGGCGGTTTTTGATAATCTCATTTGAATGTTATCCTGCTTGCCAGAAAGCTTAGATAGATCCTTCAGGGTAGTATCCGAAATGTCTTGGCATGCTGATGCTTGGTTAACTGCACAGGTGAGACGCTTGTGGCTGACAGCAGGTTTTGACCACGACACGCATATTCTTCATATCTCTCAGATCTCTGTTGGGACTCTCTGAGACACATCACAAAAGGTTTCTTGACATCGTTCCTTGGTTCATTTGAGCCTTCATCGATACGTTGAGTTTGCAGCACAGTAGTAGTAGCAAAGCAGCAGTGTAACAATAGAGTATCAGTTGGAGTTGGCGGCTTTGATTGCTTCGACTGCCATGGGCTTATGCTACCATCCTGTTGGTTCGTCCTTATAGTTCCCAGTCCTAGTTCATGAAAAGGACTAGATATTTTCCATAAAAAAATCATTGTTTTGTATGAGGACCTGTCATTGATTTAGTCATGTTAATAGTGGAAACTCGTGCCGTAAAAGAAATAGTTGTAGTCAGTCTTGTTCTGGAGACATCCCTTGTGAACTGAAGTTGATCTTTTGTAGTGGTACTTTGATGATTTGGAACCATCTCATCTGAACTTAAGTTAGTATTCTAGTTTGATAGTCTCACTATTTGAAACTATTTGGAAACTTTTTAAGTGAACTCAAATTAATATCAGTCTTATAAAGTGAAAGTATCAATTTTTGTCAAGCAAAGGGCATGTCACGTCTTTTGTTTATATTTTCATGGTTTGTTCCTCACTATTTTTTTATATTATTTTCTTTTTATTACATGAATGTTGTAGTTCATTCAAAAATATTCGTCTAAAGTGTTACTAATGATTCCACCAGTGGTTTAACACAAATTGATCTCTTTGCATTCTGGTTCAGAAAAGAGTGTTTATTTTATTTTATTTTACTTTACTTTTGATTTCTTATGCATACATGCGTGCACAGATTGTGCACGCATAGAGAAGAATTGGATTTAAAACGTAGTTGGTTTGCAAAGAATCTATGATCCCCCGTCAAAAGGCTTCTCACAGAGGTGAGCGCTTCTGGAGCTTCATTGCACCTAGTTCACCGCGTTGGGTATGGCCTTAAAAACAAATTTGACAAGCTTCCAACAGAACATGCTCAAAATGTAAACAATATTAAAAATAAATAAATAAATAAGATGCGGCAAATTAAGATTATGTTTTGTGCTGAATCACGTTGACAATCACACCAGCCAAATGGCTGTGAAGGCAAGATAAAGTTTTAAATAAAGAAGGGACAAGTTTCATCCATAGCTTCCCAGATAAGACGAGACAACCCACATTCTTAACACCAAAAGGGGAATCTATGATGTTGCAATAAAAAACAACAATCCAAATATTAAACTCATGTAAAGGTAGTGTCAATGCAATACACGAGTGAGCAGAATCATCTCACGAGAGGACGGTGTGCCAAATCACGCATGGCACCGTGTATTGGACACGAGAGCGGGTCCACGTGGCGGACAGAGGAAAAGACGTTTGGCAGTGCCAGCGTGGACCCCCTTCCCGATGCGTATGCGAAGGGATCGCAGCACATGAAGGATCGTTTCGAGCATTACCCACAATCCCATTCAGAAAAAAAAATAAAAAATAAAAAATAAAAGTTCTCTGGGTTTTGGTTTTTTTGATTTGTTTCTGTGAAGCTTGTGCGAGCTTGGTGAGCTGCGGGGTGGTGTGAGAGGGGGAGGAATCAGGGGAGGTGGTGATGCGGAGGGTTTTCCTCTGATTGTGAGAAGATTTTGCGAGGAATTGATTAACTTCGTTGTTTTTCTTAAGGGGTTTGTTCATAGCTCGGAATTGACGGGGGTGGTTTGAGGGGTTGGAGGAGTTGGGTGGATTGACGGGGAGAGGGGAATGGCGGATGCGTGGGCGAGGGAGTTTCACGAGACCGCTTTGTTAACGGAGGAGATTGACGGGCGGATTGCCGAGAAGAATGCTTTGCCTGCTCACTCGAGCGAGAGCATTCGGGTCGTTTCTGTCAGTCGGCGTAAACTGGCGGTATTGAACAATAAGCTAGATCGCCTTGAATCTCTTCTTCAGAGTGACTCCTTGAAGTCCAGCTTGTGAGTGGATTCCATTCTCTGTTCTACAACTTCAGCTTTCAGTTTGAAATGTTCCTGTCTGACCACATTCGAACTTATGCCGAAAGAGTGGTTTGCATTCCCTTATCTCTCCTTAATTGATTGCGTACGACTAAGCGTGCTTAATAGGGTGAATCGCTAGGGGTTGAAGGTTGTACAATCTCGTGATTTTGGTACATCTTTCAGATGTGAGAGTGCGGCCCTTGTGAATTGGCTGTACCCTGGGAATCAAGTTTGCACTACTCTATTGTTTGTTAATTTCATTTCGTACTCTTTGAAAATTGACTTATGCTGAAACTAGGAACGAGAAGGAGTTGAATCGTCGACAAAATATGCTCGTGGATATCCGCTTCAAATTCAAGCAAATGTCTGAGTCGCTTTCCTCTACACGAGACAACAGGTGCACTTGTTGCCACTTGGATGTATTTAAGTATTCGTCGAGCTTGGTATAGCCTGTTGCTGGGAGAATTTCCCAAACCCATTCTGCAGTGTTTTACAATGTGTCTTAATCAATCTGCAGTTGATTTCTATGTTGCAGTGCTTCTGCTGCCTCTCATTTACAATTTGATTTTTCAGGGCAAGTTTGATGGAAGGTGGGATTGCGCCAGTCGAGACTAGTAGAACCCAGGATTTAGATAACACCGGACTCGTAAAATTACAAAGACAAATAATGAAAGAGCAAGACCAAGATTTGGAGAGTCTTGAAAAAACAGTTTTGAGTACCCATCACATCGCTCTTGCTGTTAACGAAGAGCTGGACCTTCACACCCGATTACTTGTAAGTTCGATTACTTTACTCTTCTCTGATTTTATATATATGTATATATGTATACAAACGCACATATTCAAATCCATTTTCAGGTTTTTCTAGTGTCTTATGAACAAATTAGACGAATACATGTTCAACCTCGTTCCTTTTATTATTGCAGGATGACATGGACCAGGATGCGGATGTAACGAATAACAAAATTCTGGTGAGTTCATCTTCTGTTTTATTTGCATTTAAACAAGGACATGAACGAGTTCAAGGACGAACTACCCAATCTGAGTGTCACAAAGACTGAACTTGGCTTCAGGAATATGTCAATCTTTAATCCAAGTTTCATTTCATATCCTGTCATAGGGTTCCAGGTTAGAATACTTTATTTAGGCAGAATGATTCTGTATTTAGGACATGCACGATTCCACCTCTTTTATAGTACCATGCATGCGAAGAGTGTGATACCAGTCTTTTGCTCCTTAGGGTTGCTGCTCATATCCGTTCATTTTCGATCTGCAGGCGGCACAGAAAAGACTTGGGTACCTGAACAAGAACTTAGGTCAGGAGTGGTCGCTTCTTACCATGATCATTTTGATGGTTGTTGTGGTGGTCTTGGTCTTGGTTTTGTTCAAACTCTTGTAGTAACTAGTGTTTTCAGTAGATGATTTGAATTTGAGTGAGCTAGAGTTTTAGTGCACAAGCACACGGTCATGTTTCAGGGATCGTGTTGAAGGCTGTGATGCTTGCAAGTGCTTGAGGGAGAAGCGTTGTTTCGCCCATTAGTAGGTGAGTAATTGCTCAAAGAAGCACATGTGGGAACTCTAGTTGCAACATTACTCAAGCATGTATGTATATATATATATATATATATATATTTGCTGGGCAATCAGAAGGTTGCAAGCATGTACTGTAGTTATCAAGGTATACTATTTTGGCATTGCCTCAGTTTACTATTTGTTTCGCACAATTCAGAGGCTGCCGTACTTTTTTGTAACCTTGAGGAACACTGTGTTACATTGAGATGTAGGAGGACGTTGCTAATACTTAAGTTAATAGACTGATCACGTCATATCATTCTTAATGGTAGTTAACATGTGACAAATAATCTTGACCCCTTGTTAGAAAATAATGTATTTTAAGAATAAGTGTGAATATATTGAGTGTACACGAGATAGATTTGTTTGTTGTTTTATTTTTGTTTATTTTTTTAACACAAATGGGGTCTATTTAATGCTTTAATTAAATCTTTCCTTTGAAGAACATGCCCACTTAGGTTGTAACATCATAAATGCATGGTAAATTTAAGACAATATGGTTGTTTGTTTTGTTTTGTTTTTTTAAATAACAACACTTCTAATAAAAAGTCCAAATTAAGATTATTATTATTGTTATTATTTTATCACATAAATAATCAAGTTATTTTGTGGAGTTCTACAATCTTATTTCATAGGACTATTTTAACTCTCAACATATTTTAGGAAATCTATAATTTATTCTATTTTCTAAAAGATGTTTTACAATTATCAAGTAATTTATCCATCTTATTGTGATTATTATCCAAAACACTTGGTTATATTCAAATAAACTGAAAGAATTTTTTTCTGACTTTAATAATTTATTATACATATATTTTAAAATACAAAGATGTTTTATTAAATTCAAATGATCCATAAACAAAACAAAAAATCTTGTTAAATCTTTTAAATTTAGGTGGTAGATTATTAGCAAAAAATGTTTGATACTATAAAGCATTTTGACATCCTTAATGTCTACAATTAGAATCTACATGTGTAAAAGAAACATAATCTAATCATTTATTCTTCTAACATGAATGTAATTCTAAAATATATATAATATTGTTTTAGCTGGCTTGGGATATATAAGATATATTGTGTAACTATATCTAAATTAATTTTTAATATCTACACATTTATTCTAATTCTAATTATTTTATATTATTTAAATTAATATTACTTCATTATAAGTTCTAAGTCAAAATAAGACATTTTTTTGTTAAAGAGAAAATTAAGATTCAAGATTAATATCTACTTAGTTTTATTCAAATTCTAAGGTGGTTATTTATACCTAATTAATTTTTATCTTAATTAACTATATGGTTTATAAAATCTTTCTTAGAATCAAATATTAAATATCATTAATAAAGTTTGAAACTTTCCCCCTTTTCGTGTTTTATATTTGTATTTTAAAGTTTATTTTTATATAAATTTTTTGTGCCACTTAGACACTTTTAGCATAACCTTTCACTAAGTTTTTTACACTTTTGAAGAAATTAGAAGGATTATTCTTTTGTTGTTTTGATAATACAATATTATAATATATTATTTTGGATTATTTGACTACTTATTATAGCTTAATTTTGACAGATCTAGACAAAGTAAACCATGTAATTATAAGCAAATTTATTTATTGATGTAGTAGTTGAAAAATTGCTATGGAGGTGTAATTAAATTATCTTAAATAAGCCTATCAAACACTTGGCTTTAAGAATAGATATTCTATCTCCAATAAAATTATGTTAGTATTTAGAAAAGTCAAATATGAGATGTTTTTAAAATTCTTCATCTTATGATGTAAGTTTGAATTTAAATTTGATTCTAATTAATGATTATAGCATTAGATTTGTTGAATTGATTGTAGCTTGATTATAATAGAAACCATGTATGTATTTTTAACTTATACTCTAAATTATAAATATTTTATAGATTTGTTTTTAAATGCCACCATATAAATTTATTCTATGAGTTGTATAAGAAATTAGAAAATATATGATTAAGCAATTAGACTATAAATATCCAAACTTTCTCAAAATTATTCTATTTATCGATGTGAGTTGAAGTCCAAACTAAATTTAACCCATATTTTCTTGAAATTGTAAGTTTAGTGATCATAAGTGTATATTGGTCAAATTATTGAATATTGGACTCAGAAGGATAAAGAGTTTTCATGACCTAAATGATTAATGAAGTTTTTAGGGCTTCTTTTAGATCATTAACATCTCAATGTTATTTAGATTTGGATTATATATGCCGTGATACTTTGTTGCAAGTTAAGTTAATGCTTAGATAATACATTAAAAAGAATTCTTGAACATAATCTTAATTTTGCAAATTATTTTTAATAAGCTTCTCCAAACAAATAGAAAAAAAGTAGAAATAAATAAATAAATAAATAAATGAATAAATTGTTCTAATGTTATAGATATTTTAGTTGGATTTAATTTTATAATATTGTAATAATCTTTTTTTTTAAGTATTAAATATATTTAAAGTTGATGAATATCTTAAGTTTGAAGTGATAATTTAAATAGAATTCCTAGGAATTTACTTACTTTGGCAATTGATGCCAAATTCCCTCCAAACTTGTTTGTTTATTAAATCTTAATAATTCTTTTATTATACCAAATCATTAAGACCTACAAATTTTATTGCTTGATTAAATATAATTCTTATTGTGTATAAATTAGAGTTAAAATTCTAATATAAAATCCAAAAATCCAAAAACCTTATCACATATTTAAGAGAATCTAATTTTAAAAAGTTGTTTAGAAGTCTTTGATTAAGTGCGATTTTAAAATTATTAGGATGTTATCTAAAATAAACTTACTACAATATAATGATAAAACTTGAAGCAAGGTTTGATGATCTCATTGGAATAATTTCAGGGCATTAATGGGGTAAAAGTTTTGTTAGCTTTTTAAAATGTCAATGTGTACACTACATATGAAAAACTAACAATTTTAGAAGAGCAGAAAGATTGGCCATACTTAATTCAAGGGCAATGAATAGAATTGATATATTTATAACTAGGTCAGAGAAAGAACCAAACAAACAATAATAAACAATGATTAAAACTCTCCACTATTTACATGTTAATTTTGAAGCCTGACTTCATTTTTTTACATTGTAGTTGGGGAAAAATATGTATTAAGGTGTCATCTCCAATGATTTGCCATTGACATTTATCAATAGATTATTAAGTTTTAAGCAATTATAAGTGCAACCATATCATTCCTTGAAACCATTCTGTAAAAAAATTGTGTTTCAACAATCCCAAAATCTTATGTGAATTGGTTCAATGTGATACAGTTGGTATATCACTGCAGACAACATATAAAACTTATCTGTGCACAACAGTACCAAGCACATGTTGAATACAGAGATGGCAGATCGATCATCTTGCACAGCGATGCCAGAATCATCCCGGTCCCTCATACTCCGGTGATGGAACTACAAGCATCGACAGCTCTTCCAGTTCAGCTGAATCAGTTTGTCCTACAAATTCACAAGAAGCTGGTGCAGGATCTAGCGGCACTTGAGAGAGAGTGGAGGATAGACAGAGTTTTAGAAATGAAATCAATGAGCCGTTAATGGTACATCGAGCATTCATGGAGGCGCAATTCACTGTGGTTATGTTCATACCTTGCGCTTCTTTGGACTCTTTCGTTTTGAAGCACTCCTGAACTCTGAATTCTGGGTGATCTGTGAAGAACCCAAAGACTGAGAAAAATGATTTTGCTTAGCGTTGGTCGCCTACGTGAGTATCGCGCTTGTTTTGAGACAGTTCGATGACTGCTGCTTGCAACTTTGTAATGAGGTCGTCTTTGTCGATCTCTGGTATAATTACAAAGAAAAACAGAATAAAAAACTCGTCGGCTTTATAACACCGACATATACCCAACGAGAGCACGTTAAAAGCTCGCGTTGTTCCAAGATAGTGCTGAAATGAATCGATCACTGCTGGTGGACAACGAGTTTTCCTATCACAAACCATAACAAAGAGAAATCAAAAAGAAAAAAGAAAAAAAGAATGTAACGCACCTTGGAGAGGAGCAGAAATGATTTGATTCTCTTCAACAGCATATAAATGGTCATTTTCCCGAATAACGCTGATATCGTCAATCTCTGCTCCTTCTTTGCTCAACAATATCTTGGGGAGATGGTGAAATCTCTCCTCTGCAATTTTCGTACCTCAAAAAAAAAACAGTTCAATTCTTCAACCTGAAGATCTATGGAGAGTTCTAGGAATTATGAATGCATTGGATATCGTCTACACCGTGATTTGAAAATATCGATACACCAACGACACAATCAATACCGCAAAAAATGAATGAACGAAAAAAGAATGGAAACGATTTGTGAGCAGTAGGTATATTCACTTACGGGCAAGGTTGAGCAACTCTCCTATGGAATTTGGCAATACAACAACCTTTCCAACGCCTGTTACTGCATTGTTCAAAGGATGTTGACCATGGAGGACAACGCGGACGGGCGGTGGCGGCGTTGTATCGTCGTTTCTGGGCACGATCTGATTATTGTACATCCTACTTTCATGACAAAAGGCCCAGGGGTTCACGGTTTGTTGCCGGCGAAGGCTTTTCGACAGTCCCCTCAGGGTCATTAACCGTCCCCGAGCCGATTGTTTTCGCATGAGTGAGTGGATTGTCCTTTCGCCCCCAGCTACTCTACTTAGGGAACTAGGAGGAGTTGGATTGTCGACCTAGTCCAAAAACACACACCAATCAGATACAACCTTCATGTGAAAACCATTACCAATGCTTCTGCTCAATCTGACGAAGACGATGGAAATTACTGAATTAAAAGAAATGGCACCTGAAATTCAATAACGGAACCTGCTTTCTTGGACAGCCTCCGCCTTGCGAACGCACTGGACGTTTCCTTGGATGTGCCAGAATGCTGTGAGTCATCACGAGCAGGTTGAGCCTTCAAATAGGACACTATCTCTGGGTGCAGTTCAAGGCGCTCTGCTAGTTCGCAAGCGGAAAGGATATGTCCATCAGTGCTCTTCAAATGAGGATTTGCCCCTCGGGTTATCAAAAACTTAACCATCTCCAATCGGCCATAGTTGACGGCAACGTGAAGCGCGGTAAACCCATTTGCATCAGTTGCATTATTGATGTCAGCACCATATTTTATGTAGTCTTCAATGAGGTCCGTGTTACCCTCGAGAACAGCTTGCCCCAAGAACTTCCCAATATCTGCATTCTTAAATGTTGCGCCCTTCTCCAATAACAGCGTCGCTGTAGCAGTGTCCCGGGAAATAAGGGCATCAACCAATGGGACCTTTCCATCCGCATCTGCACCCAACCAGACAGCATTTGGAATTGAGTGATCACTCCCCACGTCTCTTCAATCCTCTCAACTGTCTCGAATTTGAGAAAATATCCATCTAGGATCCGGAACCGTTCCGACAAGGGATCAATGTAACGCCAAACATAAGACAAATTAACTGAAAGATCGAATGCGATTCAAAACATACCAGCCTTGTTGGGATCAGCCCCGTGTTCCAGTAAGATCTTCACACACTCCTCATAACCTTTCGCTGAGGCAATGTGCTAATCCAACCCAAAAGCACAATCGAAACATAGATGAGAAAAGACACTAAACAACATAAAAGTTTCTCGTCCGTCAAAGTAAATCCTGTTTCTACAATTTCTATTCTATTTGGTAGGACCAAAAAGCAGAAAGGACGTTTAAGTGTAATGGTAAGCTCGTGACGAAAGTTAGAACACACCAAAGCAGTGCGGCCCCAATAAGCTATCTTGTCCACCTCCGCGCCTTTGGACAGCAGCTCTTGCATTAACTCGAAGTTTCCTCCTGCAGCCGCCGCACCCAAGCTTGGGGATATCTCGTTGTCTTCAGCGAGGAGTACCTCAATCTCTGCCGAAAGCTCCTTAAATCGAGGGTCATCAGATTCCCGCAAGCGCTGCACCACAAGACAATAGAGGTATTAAGTTTTGTTTCTAGATGCACTGTGTCACATCTTGCTTCTAGATACCAATCCTTTCAGATAGTGCGGTAATATCAAATCTAAAAAAAAGTGGATCTCGGGACGACAAAAATTTGGAGTAGAAATAGTACCTGTAAGAGATTATCAACAATCCTCTGGCCATCTTCCTTGAAAGATTGCACAATGTTCATGAAAACAATGCGATCAAGCCGCAAGAGCTGTGATAATTTCCGACTTCGCACAGTGAAAGGTTGGGGCATGTAACACAGCACGCCAATCTCTCCAATCACATCGGCAGCATGTGCCGTTGCTAGAATCTGGCACGAAGGACTCGAGCCTCAATACGGTTTGAAAATTAAATTAGCAACCAGGACAATAAAAGTCAAGTAGGAGAAAACAATACAGATGGAGGTAATTACATACTTGCTCTGATGCGGCATCTTCTCTTCGAACTAAAACATCCTGCACCCAGTCAACCATGCATGTTAACTTCCATTAGTTGCTGTCAACTTACACAAATAACACCAACCGCCCACTGTTCTCGGTGAAGGAAGCACCAATCTGTCTCATGAATATCAATGATCTACTTATTGTTATAGAAGTGTTCTAATTGTTAGTCCTGGCAGTAGGAGATGAACTTACAGCAGTACCGTTCACAACGATGTAAAACTCGGAAGGGGCCTCATTGAGCAGTATGATGTCCTCACGAGGAGGGAAAAATTCAACTTTCATCTCCGATACCTTCATAAACCAAAATTCAATTAAATTGTGTCAAACATTATCAGCCAAAATCAACGTCAAAATTCAACACTGGTTGACTTACTACAAAATATTCGTACGTAGCAAGAGTATTTCCTTCGCAATGTGGTGCTCATGTAAATGTGTGTCAAGTACGAACTTTAATTTCGTCAGCCCAATAAAGTATTCTGAAGAGGCATTCAAGGGTGGCGCACCAGCTGAGAGAGAAAATTGTAGGAAGTGCCCTGGAAGAGGTAAACTCTTTCCACCGTATCAAGGAACAAAAACTGCGCAACAGATGACCGAATGGCCTTTGGAAGGGAAGCTATAGTTCCTTGGTGTTGTAGACTCTGTGTCTTGAACTTCAACTGCACATGGGAGATCATTTGCTCTTGAAGCTTCGGAGGCAAGTGGTTTCTCGTAGCAAACTCCATCAATGATTGCACAGAGTCACGCTGACCCCACACCCAATCATATCAAAATATCATCAGTCACATTCAACATGCAGATTCCCACAGAGATTTCCTCAGATTCTTCAGGGCACGTAATCTATTTCTGAATTAGAGAGAAGAACGTTTCAGAAGAGAGGCTCACATAATCTCGTGTTCGCGCTGTCACATGAATAATAAGATTGGTCATATTTCCAATGATGTAAGATGTAAGGGCTAAGTTCAGTAGCATGTAGAAAATGTCGTAAATCATTTCACCACGATTGACTGGATGCAAATCCCCATACCCCACAGTCGTAAGGGTGGTGATGGACCAGTACATACTCGTAACATACCGCGTCCACAAAGACTCCTCTCGAAATCCTGGAAGCGCAGATCCCAGCCAGGTCTCTGATTCTTTAGATTTCGGATGCCGAGCAGCTAATAAATAGTATGAGCAGGCCGCACAATGACAAGTAAACACGGTCACCTGGAACAACACCCACAGACTTGATCAAAATACAGAAGAAAGTCGCCTTTGAGCAGCCGCAACAATCTATTACAATGTGTCTTTACTATCGGATTTGATAGACCATACCTTAACTTCGAGAAATACTAGGTATTGTGCTCATAATCGTTTCTTTTAGACGATAATGTAATGACTGATCCAAGAAAGTTCAAAATCTTCGTCTAGGTCAATGACCCTCAAAGAAATTGAGCACGAGAACATTTATGAAGGTAAATCATTACAAAGTCTCCGTACCAAAAAGAGTTTGAGACACCGAGTCCAGAAGTAACTAAATTTTACGTTCTTCTCCACCCTGTAACAAAGGTTCAATATGTTAAGCGCAAAGATGGAAGGTTCACAGGAATAGAGCGTATGACAATAACAAGATTGGTAGTTGAAATCGGCAGATCCTTCTCAGTTTATACGATTATGCTTTTAGGAAGACGTGCAAAATGTAAAGCTTCAATCGACTCTTTGGTTTCCTTGAAATACCTAGCAAAGACGTCGCTCACACGCCGCAACCGCCAGAGTCGCAACAGGTTAACAAAACTGGTTACAAATCCTGTCTCGTACTTGTGGGTGAAAATCACCATTATGGCGGCAAAAGGAACAGTTGAAGCAACATCTAAAACAAACCATGATCTCAAATACCTGCCAATCATAACAAGGCGACGGAACAACAGAAATGATAGTAAATATTCCATTCAATAAAAAAAAAGGTAACAATAAATAATAAAACATACATGGTGAGCAAGGTGTGAGAAAGGTAAGCTCATGCAACAGTAGAATTATTGATAATCGGCATCAGCAGTAGAGGCTGGTGTTCAATTTGAAGTAGAACGAGGCTAGTGCCCCTCCACCCAAGTGATCCAAAGTCATGCAGAAGACTACCAAGCGCATGTGAGCGATGACCATTATCTGCGCTAAAGCTCAAGTTCGCAGAATGTTACCTACTAGCAATCTTCTTCAAGTTGTCTTCCATCAAGAACGTTTTAGGATCAAGATATGCGACGAAGAAAGTCATCACGATATCAATAAAGAAGAGAGCGTTGACGACACTGTCGACACCCAAAAGGACCCCACGTGGGTTTTGTATAAACCCGAACTCGAACGGTGACACCCATGCTGAGTAGAACACCAACACCACCAGGAAATGCTGCCAATACCTGCCCACCCAATAGAAATCAGAGATCGGAAGCTAGATTTAACTGGATCTGCTTAATCCTGATGACTAGCTACGTCAAGCGTTTAAGAAAACCGTATGCATCACCCTATGTCTCCGAAGCAGTATGACCATACGGACCGACAGTCTTGCATACATGCGGCTGTAGTAACTCATAGGTCAAACCAGGACTCCGTCCTGAAGCAGGTACAATGGCCGGCAATCGTACCATTTCATCTGAATTATTGCAGAGCAGCATTTATGCTAAGCTACAGGTATGCCAACTGAGAGGGAATTTCTCTAAGACATTGCCACACAAAATCCTACCACTTAGTCTTCCTAACTTTCAAATGGTTGCTAATTTTAGATATATGATGACGATGACAACAAGGCCATGATTTCTTCACTTGTTAAAGCATCCACAGAAAGAGGGATTTCATGGCATAGGCAAGCAACCGCAGACAGCCAGACAATAACCAAAAGGATGCGTTGAGCTCATGCCGGTGCATTTGTCGCAGGGAGGTATGGCAATTACCTGTATTGGCGACTGTAAGGATGAATCACATATTTCTTCAGAATCAAGTTTTTGATGCTTTGATTAGATCCGAGAGCAGGCAAAAGACCGCTGCTGAATGCATCACTGAACGCGCTGTGAGTGGAAGCCTTATGCAAGTGGTTTTTCTCCACCAAGCCCATTGCCTGCTTAACGAGGTTAATCAACCATTCAGCCATGATCCCACAGCAGCCTACCACCTCTCTGTCACAGCTGTTAATATGGTAGATACTTCTTTGCAGATTTTCAATAATCGATGAGATTTGTAAGATATCTCAGCGATGGTTTTGTCACTTGAGGACCTTCATGAAATTTCAACTTCCTGGATGAGTAATTTGCGCCCTAACATAGTTAACCTCGGGCATGCAACGGTTCGGCACGCCGAGCTGCAGAAGACGACGGTGCTTTGAACGTCAATAGCACTTGCAACTTAATGCTCCTGCGATAAATTTCGGTGGAGCGCTGACATCTGTGTGATACTGTCAGAATTCAGCTCCAAGCTCGAAACCATTTTAGTTCCATCTCAAACATGAGCTCATCAGAAGACCAACGTACATCTGCAATACGTTGTAAGGAGCCCTCCTACTGCTTCCGAAATTCTCAACACATGCCTATTACGTCCATTCCGCTTCGTTCGTTGTGCTTACACCGAGTTCTATCAGTGTCGATTTCCCCTCACATCCCAACACAAAACCATTTCTTTCTCTGAAAACACTTCAGTAGTGATAACAAAATCGCTGGAACGGCCTGCGCAACCGCGACTATATCTCCGAGCTGCAATTGAACAGTGCAAAATAACACAAGGCATCCACATACCACGCTCCTCCTCCGAGACTGCTACCAAGCAATCTAAAAACCATTCTTGAAGATCAAGAAAGCGCAATACGTCTTCCGGCGCTTGACTCAACTGGTCCCGGGCCAAGCTGCCGCACTTCAACCATGCGCAGGGCCAACTCCCTCAACAGTCTTCGAGGCCTCCACCTCACAAAACTGCGACAGCTCCACCAAATCACAATTCACGAACCCAGTGACTACTCACAGCTCCGACGAGGACGAGGAGGAGGACGACGACGACCCGATCCTTGCAGCGTAACTCTACGGCACCGCATCCAGGCTGTGGTTCACGTCACCAATCACACAAGGTTCCGGAGCACGAGGCACGGCGAAGCACACGAGCCACGGCTGCTGTGATAATAACGACACGGTAAAAAGAACATGGAGTTGCTGACGAGGAATTAATACACAATGGGAAAAAAATTACGAAAAAAACGGCATGAAGATGTGTTGCCACGCTAGCGCCGCCGCCAAGGTAGTAACAGGAAAAGCAGCCTCGAAATCGAGGCCTCCATCATCACCACCACCACCACCACTACCGCACCGCATCGACAACAGCGGCACTGCTTTGAATGCAGCAAAAGGACCCTGTGGAATCGGAACACGGTGATGCAGCAGCGGGGCATGGAGCCGCGGAGGCAAACTCGGGCATGGGAGCTTTATCTCCTGGTGGGTCCCATACTCTCTGCGGCGATTTCCCTATTGAATCTAACCTCTATCCAACGGTATCCTAGGGGATCCCAGTTGCATCCTCTACGAGGGGGATCCTGGTATATCCCATTCCCTCCCTGCGATGCCTTACCCTTTTTGCCGTCTTTGTTCCCATGTCCACGTCCTCATCTTCATCTTTTTCGTCTTTAATATTCGTCGTCGTTGTCGTTATCGTCGTCGTTGATGTTGTCATCTTACCACGTCGATTCGAATAAGAGGGGCAACTTTAAATTAGTTTTAGAACTTTTAAAGTTGGAAGTTTTGGCCCGTTTGTTTTGGATTGGTGGAAACTCTGTGGTTGATTTTTGTTGCTTTTGATGAAGTTGTCCGTTTCTAGCAATAAGGCCTCTTTAGGGTGAGTGGGAAATTTCGGAATTTTTAATTATTATCATTTTTTTTGGTGTGGTTTTGTTTTATTGATTTTTGAAAGGTATGTTGATAAATGTGGTTTTGTCATATAGGAAGAAAACATACGGGATGTAAACGAAATAAAGATAAAGGAGAAAATTTGATGTATTGAGATGTGATATTTTACCTACCTTCGAAAGGAATTCATGTGAGTTTTTTGTTCAAGAAATAAAATATTCAAGAGGATGTTTCTAACAAAAATACTTCATGGTAATAGGTATTTTATGAAGAAAAAAAAGTAAATAAATATATTATTTTAGACAAATTTATGTTTAGGAATGTTAAAACATCACTTTACAATGATGAATTATTAAAACTTATGATAAATCAATCTAGTAATTGTTGTTAAGTTTGTATTGGAAGTTTTGAAGGTAGATTTTATGCATGATTGAAACTATTTGTAATTATGAGAGTAATAAGCTGCATACTTTGCAGCATGAGTTAATATAATGTTAATGCAAAATTTATGACTATTAAGATTAATAAAAAAATATCATTAAATTTAATATATATATATATATATATAATAAAGAGTATTTTTTTATCCATCCATGAGCTTTTATGAGCCAACTAGTATTATTTAAATATAAGATATCTTTAATATATATATATATATATATATATATATATATATAGAGAGAGAGAGAGAGAGAGAGAGAGAGAGAAAGAGAGAGAAAGAGAGAGAAAAATAAAATAAAATAAAATAAAATAAAAATAAATATTAAAGCCACACTTCAATTTTTTTAAAGCAACATCTCCCTAGCCATCTTATAATCCATTATGTACCTATTCCATGTCCCTAAATTTATTTCAATCCCGTGTCCCTTGTTTTCATCTCTCATCTCTTAGTCTCAATCCTTATCCCTTATTTTTAGCCTTTGTCTTGTGACGCCAAGTCTAAGGTGAGAGAAAACTAAGGAAGCAATATGAAGAAGGCAAATCAACTATAATTGTGACTTATTTTAAGTATCAAAAGAAAAGATACTATGCCAACAACTGCAAGAATGAAGAAATTGTGAGGAAAATAAGTGAACTTTTTTGTACTCTTCAGCCATACAAGACTCAAGTGACTCAAAATTTCTAAGTGATGAGTCTCAATATATAAATTCTAGTAAAGAAAGGTGGTTTTGAACAAAAACTCACTTTCACCAATTTACATAAGAAACTTGTCTATCTAAGTTTTAAGGTTAAGAACACTGAGGTCACAATGTTGATTGTTAGAGGGATAACCAACTTGTTTATGAAGCCAAAGTATGCCAAGAGATTGGAATTGGCTCTCAAAATAATTAAAGAAGTGAAGGTGTCATTTGCTAAAAGAGGAGAAATAGTCTGCTTAGTTGCTAAGAACATAGAATTTAAATCTAGGAATAAGAAATTTTGAGAGGACTTCAGAATATGTAGCCTCAGTGGAATAGATGCAGTACTAGGAAACACATTTTTAAGGTATTACAGAATGAAACTTCAATGAAAATCCAAAATATAAGTAATCTTAATAGAAGAAGTTGGGAAGTTAGTAGATTTGTCCTTCGTGAACCGCCTTATATTATACAAGTCAAAGATTGCTATTGTTACTCACTACAAGTTAGAAAGAGAATAGTTCCTCTTACACTTGAGAAGAAGCAATTTCAATCTTGAAATTATAAGTAGTGGTCTCAGTAATAAAGAAGAGTAAGAAAGGACCACTCTATATTTTGAAAAACTTATGCAAAGCCTTTTGTTGGAATTTAGTAATGTCTTGACAACTAAATTACTAAGGAAACTTCTACCTAATAGAATAGTAGATTATAAAATTGATATAGTTTTAAGATTACAATCCCTGAGTAAAGCATTGTATTGATTAAATCAAGTCAAGCGAAAAGAGCTCATATAACAACTCAATGAGTTATTGAAAAAATATTATATTACTTAAAGTAAGTTCCCATTTGAAGCCTCAATCCTTTTTGAGAGCAAAAAAAAAAAAAATGGAAAGATGAGAATGTGTATTGATTATAAGGTCTTCAATAAGATTACTATAAAAAAAAACTACCTACTTCCATGAGTTGACAACTTATTGAATATATTAAGTTGTAGTAAATATTTCAGTAGGATTGATCTCAAGAGCTATTATAATTAGATAAAGATTGCCTCCAAGGATATTAAAAAGATGGCTTATAGAACCAAATATGATTCTTATGAATTCATGGTGATGCCCTTTGGATTGTATAACACTTTAGCAACATTCATCACATTGATAAATTCAATCTTTTATAAGAAAAGTGATGAGTTCATAGTGGTGTACATTGATGATATATTGGTTTTCTTCAAAAGTGACAAAAGGCATGAGGTGCATTTAAAGATAGTCATAGAGAAATTAAAAGAGAACCAATTGTATGCCAATGAAGAGAGGAGTATCTTTTATTTGGAGAAATTAGAATATATGAGATATATCAACAATGATAAGGATTTAAAGCCATAATCAAAGTAGATTTAAGCTATCAAGAATTAAAAGATATCTAAGATGAAAAAAGATGTGAGATCATTTTTGTAATTAACAAATGATTATAAAAATTTCATAAAGGATTTTTTAAAGATTTCTAGTATTCTCTTAAGCCTCTTGAAGAAGGATAGCAAGTCCATAAAATAAGACTTGAGTTGTGAAAAATTCTTTCAAGAAATTGAAAAAATATTAATTTTAAGTTTAGTATTGTTCTATTCATAGTTTGATAAAGAATTTGAGATCTATATGGATACAAGTAATTTTACCATTAATAGAGTTTTGATGCAAGAAAAAAAGACTTGTGGCATTCAAGAATACGAAGTTGAATGAGAGTCAGCTTAGATTGCTCACTCAAGAGAAAGAACTATTTGTAGTAGTGTATTGCTTAAAAACTTTGAAGCACTATCTGAGTAGTAGCAAGATCAAAATCTACACCAATAACATCTCTCTCAAGTACTTCATGTGTCAAAGGCATGAATCTCAAAGAAAGAAAATCCTCAATATACTCCTGTGTCATTGAAAGGAACTAGAAAGTCACTCAAAGATGATATAATATTGAACTAAAATAGCTATTTACAAAAATAAGAAGACTAGAAAGTCTTGAAACAAGTCTAAAGTTTAGAAAGGCATTGAAAAGGATAAAGAAGGCTTTATTCTTACCTCCATATATACTCTTAATTAAGAAATATGTGGCGATGTCTTATAGAATCTCTAAAACATGTTGACTTTGTAAGATACATATCTTAACTTACAAGACATGTTTTTTATATGTATATGACCTAAGTTAGTTTTTTTTACAACCTATCAACATGTAGTTAACTTGTTGACCATATTTCTAACCTACCAATCAACTACAAACACATATTAAATCAAAGCAGCATCTATGAAGCTTCTAAGAAGTTTCTTTTAGAAGATATTATAAAATTAATCTATTTTTATCTATTTTTATCTACTTCTATCTAATCATATAGGTATCTATTAGAATATCTATATATATTTGTGACATTATCTCTCCTTGTAGAGATGAGTTCTATGAGGAATGATCTTCATATGTTGCAAAAATCTAAGATGCGACAAATTATATTTGTGATATACTTTGATCTTTGTTCTCTTTGAAGATAGTTGATAGGTCCTCTCTACCATTGATAATGTCTCATATCAAGGTAAGAAGACCACCTTGTTATTTGGTTGTTGATGCTTTTGCAACTTTTTTCAAATAAAACATTTGAAATACTATCAAGAGTTGTTCCTACCTCTAATAAAAACATCAAAAATAGAGAGTCTCTTCCAAAGTGATGATATCAAATACATTGTCGTATTACGTGCTTTCCTACTCGAGAACGCGCCGGGCATCTGGCTGTAGAAGGTAGTATGAAGATTCACTAATATTCAAGCAGTTTATCGGTTTTTGATTGTTGGAATATAAACAACTGCAAGAATATATCATAAATCTATATGGATGTCCTTCAACTGCTCGCCGAAATCCTTCCTGTCCCAGCCGGTAGGTCTCTAGACGTTACAGAGAACCCCGAACAACCCAAACTACTAATCTTCGATACCGCTTTATACTCACGATCTTGTATCCACTAACTGTCTCGTTAGATTAATCCAATAAATTTCATTCACTCTGCATACTCAATCCTATAGAAACCCTTTTAATTCTTCATCACAAATGTAATTCAATTTCACAAAACAGTCAAGAGTAATCACATCCACTTCATTAAAATCCCGATTCACTAGTACAACACTGACTTCAGCAACGATTGCCTCAGTCTTCCCAAAATCCTATGAAGAAAAAAAACCCCAATTCTCTGTCTTTTTTCCCCGCTCTGAAGCATGAAGCTAGCTCTCCGACCCTTCTAAAAAAACTTATTCTCCCCTCTTTCAAACCCTAGCCTCTGAATTTCTTCAATCTTCCGTCTTGGATCCGGAATTGGCTCCGCCGCCAGAGCT